CAGAGCCTAGAAGGAGAGAAACGAAATCAAAAAGCAAAAACAAAAAATAGAGACCGAGAAGTAGAGAGAAAACTGAGAACGAGAGTCTGAACATTGGCTTTTAACTGAGAGATTTTCTAGAAAAAAGCATGGTGAATTCATTTAACAAAGGAAGCATCAAAGAGCTCGGCTGGGTTCGCCATTTTTTTATTTCTCGGGGTCTTCTGGTTACTCACGCTTCCCTTGCATGGCAAGGCTTTGAGTTTTGAGAATGTCACGAAGGAAGAGGGTCCTGTGATCGGAAAATTTGAGTGGAGAAGACTCGCATGCACCGAATATGGAGAAGAGTCTGCCATTGACAGACCACCCTTTCGTTTTCAGTTCTTTATACTGGAACCCAATCCTCTTTTCCTTCCTGTTCTTCATGCAGACACATTCTTCTATGTTCAGACAGGGAGTGGAAAGCTGACCTGGGCATATGATGGTGATACTGGAACGGTGAATCTATGTCGAAGTGACATCTATATGATTAGCACAAGCTTCGTTTTCTACTTATAATGTTCTTGGAGGCACAGAGACACAAACCTCGGGCTTTTGCAAGGTGGAGCCTCAAGGCTGCTGTAACTTGAGGACGTGGTCATTGGCACTTAAATCATGTGATATTTAAATCATGTCATCTCCCTTAATCTGGATTTGATTCATTGATGAACATGTATATATTGATAGATGCTAAGAGTGTGGACTGATTCAGATGTATGTTTAGGTATTAAAAATTCATGAATCAAATATTTGTTTTAAAATTTAGAACATACTTGAGAGGTGTTTGACAAAATAAAAAAAAAAGAAGAAGCCTGTGAGAATATCATTGATAATTTGTTAGATGATTGTGGTTTGAAGCCGTATCTATCATGCTTATGATCTTGCTAAAGTATATGCCAAATATAGATTTTTTAGAATATATCCTCAGGTCAAAAGAATAGTGAACTGTCAAAATAATTTATTTCTCTATTCTTTCCATTGCTTTCATCGCATGAATCGTTTAGCCAACTATAATATTATGCACCGATTGCAAATACAAATATTTTGGTTATCTATTTGTCGTGTGAGATTTTAAGAATCTCCGCAGACATTAGAATGATTTTATACCGTGTAAATCAATAAGATTTCGCAGGTATGAGGATCAATCTTATAATAAATATTTAAGTCTCATGTGAGATTTTAAGAATCTTCGTAGAGACTTAAATTAATCACATTATCGTGTGGGATAATATATCCCTGCAGATATCGTGATTCTCAATTTGTATATATTACATAAACAAATTTTTGTAAATAAAATAATAAATGTTTTTTATGATTTTAATTAATTAAATTAATAAATTTGAATTATAATCACATTTTCTAATTAGATCTTTTGGTCATGTGAGGTTTTTGAAGCTCTGTAAACCTTTAAGATAATCGTACTACCGTGTAAGTAAATAAGACTTCATAGGTATAACGATTAAGATCTCTATATTAAAAAAATATGTGTTATATAATTACACAATAAAATATATTCAAAGTGAATATTATTTAATCATTTTATCGTGTGAGACTTTGAATCTCTACAGATATTCAGGATAATCTCGTATCGTGCAAATCAATGAGGTTTCATAGATATGAGAGCAAAACTTATATATTGAAATTAACTCTCCTTTTATAATCCAAATTAATAATTTATTTAAGTCTCATGTGAGATTTCAAGAATCTTCATAGAGACTTAAATTAATCGCATTATCGTGTAGGATAATAAGTCCTCGCAGATATATTGATTATCAATTTCTATAATAAATAAATGATATTTGTAAATAATCATATAATACACAATTTAAGAAACTTAATTAACCAAATTAATGTATTTAAATTATAACCATATTTACCAATTATATCTTTTAGTCATGTGAGATTTTTGAATCTCCGTAGGCTTCTAAGATCATCGTATTATCGTATGAGTAAATAAGACTCTGCAGATATAACGATTTAGTTTTTAAAATATATATATATATATATATACATATATATTATATAATTAATTAAATCAATTAATTAAAGTTAATTCCTTTATTGTGTGAGATTTTGGAATCTCCACAGATATTAGGGATAATCATATTACCGTATAAGCCAATAAGGCTATACAGGTATGATGATTAAAATCCTTTAAAAAATATATACATACTTAAGTAAAATTATTATTGACACTTAAAAATATACATAAGAATATAAATTAATAAATTAAATTGCCAAACTCTTTTATCGTGTGAGATTTTAGAATCTCCGTAGATATTTAGAGCAATTGCATTATCGTATGAACCAATTAGGTTCTGCAGGTACTGCGATTAAATCCTCAATCATAAAGAAAAATAATTTTAAACCCTTTCCTTTCTTTATTCCAAAAATTCAAAAATGGAGAAAATAATTAAAATTAAATTACCTTTTGTAATTTAAAACACACATATCAAAATTTCAGAAATGGTTTTATTTGCAAAATGGTGAATTATTTCTAATTAATTTCCCTTCAAAAATATTTTCATCAACAAACTTTTGAGCCCGAACTACGTGGACTTTGATCCCCATCACAGGGTACGTAGGCCTCAGAGTCAGATTCTGAGTCAAGTCCGTCCTCCCTCATAAATAAATAAATAATTCTCATCATTTTTAAAACACATGAATACAAAAAAGATAATTAAAATAATTATAAAACCATATTAAAAGAGCACAACAAACTTCAGGTAACCGTTCTGACGAACGGGTGTTGTGGGGTGCCTGACACCTTCCCCACACTCAACCAACTCCCGAACCCATTCTCTGATTTCGCAGATCACCTTTATCCTCCATTAATCGGTTTCCTGAGATTTCCCTCAAAATCTTGGTGGCGACTCCTCGTTCGATCCGGTTCCCGCCGTGAAGGCCGGGACCTCCGCTCGCGCGCCGTCCACGTCGCATTTTTCTGGGTGCAACACTCTTCATTAAGAAAAATAATTAACTCAAGCTACAAAGCTTCTATTGATTTGGTTTTGAACTTTTGGAAAGCTTAATATGTCTAGATTATGCATACAAATTATTAGAATCGATAGAGTCCATTAACTATAAACATTTTAATGAAATAGTAATAGTCCTTTGGAAAATCCTGCACCTGGACAGTATGATACTTGCATGCTTAAATCATAGCTCCAATAAATTTCTGAAGCCTCAACTCATGCTTTATGACTCTAGACATATCAAAGATGCATATTAATGTTTTTTTTGAACTTACATAACTAAAATAAATTCACATGTGATTTAAAATATAAGTCTTCAACTTGTCAATTTAGTGCCTCTTACTTCTTTGAATTCTTCTTCCTTCTTGTTCTTGTTATCTTTCCGCCTAATATGGTTAGTAATTGGGAGTGAGACATAAAGTCTCGATAGCAACATAACCATTCCACACAGCATGACCCATTCAAATATTGAACATTCATAACAAGTATGGCATGTTATACATTGTACATGCTATTAAAACTTTTATGTCACAAACATATCATGGCACCATGAAATAACTTCACATAAAGCATTTAGCAACTCATAACATGATATCAAAACACCATATAAGTCATTCCATGACAAGATAAGATTAGATGCAAAAGAAAAGGTTAAGTTGCTACCTTTTAACTCATGACATTGCACAAGATTCTTCCAACCTTGAAGTTCCAACTTTCCAGCTAAAAGTCCATTTACTTAACATTCATATACCATAATTGAGCAACATCCATAAACCATCCTACTCAGAATGAACTACCATTTCTGCTGCCACTTTTAATCTCACAATATACTCTTAAGGCCTAAAATTGACTTTTAATTCTATTGGCCTCAAAATTGAGAAACTAACGCTACCCTATATAATTCTTCTCAATAAATTCAATGGTGATATGATTCATCTCAACAAAACCACATTGCTCCATGTTGAAATATTTTGGGCCAAGAAATGCACATTACTAACTTCCTGCATATTCTTGAAAGCATTATTCTAACCCTATCAAGGTTTATAAATCCATTTTAACATTTATAGACATAACGTTTTCATATGTAAATCCTTTTGGTTTAGATATATCCATGAAACAGCGCAGTAGATTATACAAACTTTCCCAATTAAATCCTCAAGCCAATAACACTGATAATTGTACCTCTTGAAGACTATGGAATTTATTCCTTAATTCCCCATGTTTAAGCTAACTCTTGAGATCCATGTCATCACCAATGGAAAATATAAAACCATAGGTGAGAAGCCCTTGAAGAGATAAACGGTTTTTTTTTTTTTTTGGTAAGGAACTTTAAGGGTTGGTTGAGGTTTAATGGAAGAAACTAATGGCACCATTTGCCTCTCTCTCTCTCTCCCCGCGCGCGCGCGCGCGCTCTTAGCTAGAATAAGCTGAATAGATGAAGCATAAATTGGTTTTGAGAGAGAGACAGTTGGTCAAGATGAGGTCCAATAAGAGTGAAACACTTAACCATTTATTAAGCTACTATTGACAAGTGTATACCACGAAAATTTGGTTAATTTTAAAAATTTCATTGCTTCAATTTTTCTGACCACGTGAGATCATTCGAACTAAATGGACTCATTAATCTGCTCAGTAGACTTCGTCATATTGGGATCCAATTAGAACTTGAAAACAAAATTATTTATGAAGACTTGAATTCCATTCTTGCTCATCTTGTGTTACTCCAAAATTCTACACATTTCTTTTCATTTTTCTTGCTTGTCTCTTCAGCCCAGAATAAATAAAAGAGAGAAATTATAATGACCTTAAATTTTAATTGAATAAAATTTTTATTGGGAAAAAAAATTTTATTTAAATTAGTTTTTTTAACAGCTTGATGTTATTTTATTTTAAATTATGGGAGAATTTGTGTCCTTTCTTATAAATTTTTTAGACCTTTCTCAATTTTTTTTTTGTCCTTGCTTATAATTTTTCCCAAACTAATTTGATCAGATCTTACCTCCGCCGTGTGAGGAGAAAAACAAAGCATTCCCTCTTCTTTTACTTCTCCATCGACATTGTGCTCCTCTTCCCTCTCTGTCGAACCTTGCCTCCTCAACTTCGACTTGTTCTCCTTCTCACCGTCGGTCTGCTCCCCACCTCATTGGTACGTTTCTGCTATTGGGATTGTTGGGTTGCTAGAATTTCTTCCTTCTTTGCTGTTCTTTGTTGTCTCTCAGTTCATGGTCGATGGTGGAGTGCGCGCGCGCGCATTCAGCTTCAATTCTTCCTGCTTCTCAGCTGCTGAATGTCTTGTGTATGCGTATATTAAGCTTAATTCCTTTCTTTTATTGGCTAGTGATTTCTGGTCTTTCTCTCTCGTTCGAGCTGCAGATCGATGCCCTCTTTCCTTCATCAGAGTCGACCACATGCTGGTTTTAAGCTGTCACCACTGCACTGAAGGTTGAGGTAAATCGTTGGTCCTTTATTCTCCCTCTTTGATTGCAACAGCACCATCGAATCATTCCCTCCTTTCTCCAACTGATTGATACAGCCCCTGTTCCTTATTTTTAGTTAGGATTGAAGTGTTGCTTCAGTTGGTGTTGGAAATTGTTTGATTATGTTGAGCTGAAATATAAGTTTGGAATTGTTGACATTTTTTGGTTATATATCTCATAAATTTATCAATGATAAATATGTGTTTTCAAAATATTTGTAAAAACGTGGAAAAGAAGAAATTGGTGAATTAAGTGTCGTTAAACTTTCATGTTATAATTTGAAGGAATATATATAAGTTTTTTTTTTTTGATAGATAAAGCGAACCCATAGGCAAGTTAGCCTATCTTATCCCTCCTTCTTTCTCTATCTCTTGTTAGTATGTTCTGCAACTCATTTGGTGTAGTATTGATATGGTAGAACCCATGCATAACAGATAATCCTTTCTTGGCCAAAAGATTCTCTGCTCGATTTGCCTCCCTATGCACATGCCTCGTAACAACTTCCCAATCACGAGCTATAAGAGTTTTAGCCTCAGTGATTATGCCAGCATTCGAATGATTTTCATTAATTTCCATGTCCAGTAATGAAATTACTTCAGAAGAGTTAGATTCTAGAATAACATGCTGATAGCTTGTATCCCACACAGTCTTTAACCCATGTACACAAGCCCATAGCTCCGCAGTTAGGTTATCTCCTCTATCCAGTCTGTGAATGAAGCCAATAATGAAGTTCCCATCAGATCCTCTGATAAGTCCACTGCATGCATCGGCCTGTGAAATATGAGTATATGCACCATCTACATTTACCTTAACCCATTCATTCCTTGGTGCTACTCATCTCATATCTTCCTTTGTTTTGGGTAGCATATTATTTGTATTATGCAGTAAGGTATTTTAGGGTTCCCTCATGCACCTCATCATTACATGGGAACTTCTAATAATCATCTCATTGCTGACTTTTTTTTGTTTAAATACAAAGAGGTTCCGCCTCTTCTAGATCCATTAACTAACCATACCAAAGAAAGCACTCCACTTGCTCCCTAACCCATGTTGGTTAGAGATATTCCTCCAAAGCCATTCTATGAGCTCCATATCTTTAAATTTTCTCCAAACTGATGGATGGATCACACTCATCCATAACAATTTAGTTTGATGACAATCACAAAGCACATGGAGTGAGGTTTCAGGTTCCATATGGCAACATGGGCATATCTCACTTGAACTCATCCCATGCTTACATCTCGAAACATTAGTAAGAAGTCTTCTCTGGGAGGCTAACCACAAGAAGGTTTTGCACCATTGCGGGACCTTTAACTTCCATATATTCTTCCATTTTTGGTCATGATTCAAACCAAACTGGCAGAGGCAGTCATAAGCAGACTTGATAGTAAACATACCACTTTGATCCCATTTCCATTGAATATTATCCAACCTCATATCCTTAAGCCCTATCTTCACTGTCTCCTACATTGCCTTAATACTTGACCATATATTCGATCCTAGCCACTCTATGTCAATTTTAGGAATTAAATCATCTCTACACCTGTATTTGCTTTAGATAACTTTGACTTAAAACTCATCCTTTTTCTTTACCAGACTCCATCCCAACTTCATGAAAAGAGACTGATTTTGAAGTCTAGCATGTTTCAGTCCTAGTCCATCCGACTTCTTTGGCTTACACACCTTATCCCATGTGACAAGAGATACCTTTCACCTACCTCTTGTTCCTCCCCATAAAAAGGTTTGATTATGTTTATCAAGCACTTCATATGTATTGGCAGGCAAATGGGCTGTTTGCATAATATATCTAGGTATTATAGAAGTGATAGAAGAAATTAAGGTAGTTTTACTCGCTAGAGATAGCAAGTTTGCTTTCCAGCTAGACAATCGAGCTTTGACCTTATCCATAATCTCTTGAAACATAGTCTTGTCTACTCTCTTATGATGGAGAGGAACACCTAAATATTTACCCAAATCTTCAGTTTGAGCAAAACCAAGCAAATTGCTAAGCTCCATACATCTATTTGGAGTCACATTATTAGAAAAGAACATTCATATTTTAATAAAATTTACCTTCAATCCCGAGCTTTTACAAAAGTTGTCAATAGTCTCCCGAATCATTTCAGCTTGTACTACTATAGCCTCTATGAAAATAATAATATTGTCAACAAAGAATAAGTGGGATATAGGCGGTCCCCTCTTGTTCAACCATATTGGTTCCCATTTCCCTTCATCCATTTTTGCTTGGATTAGATGAGCCAGCTTTTCCATACAGATAACGAAGAGATAGGGAGAAATAGGATCTCCTTTTATCACTCCTTGAGATGTAGAAAAGCATTCAGCTTTATCACCATTCTATAAGAGCTGCATGCTTACAGAAGAGATGCAGTTGATAATGATATCTATCATATTTTGAGGCAATGCCATCTCCTACAAACATTCAGTCAAAAAATCCCACTTAACACGATCATATACCCTTCCAAGATCAATCTTAATTGTCATGAATCCTTTCTTCCTTATCATGTGCCTTATGGAGTGAATAACCTCCTGAGCAACAATAATATTATCTTGGAGTATATGTAAGTTTTGGCTCAACTTATTAATTGAAATTTTAAAATACCAAAGTAAGAGAAAGAATTACATAGGATACTTGTGTTATATTTTATTAAGTCTAAAGAAAGCATAAAGATAGTTGATTAAGTTTGTTATGATTTATAATTGAGACTGCGCTACAAGAAAGTATGAAGATAAATTGAGGTTTGTTAAATGGCTTAACAAACTCAATGGTATTTGGAACATAATCGGTTAGAGTATTATCTTTAATATTGTTTGAATTAAATTCAAATGTCCATTAAGTGATTGAAAAATTTCTTGATAAATGATTTTAGAATTATGATTTAATTGTCAAGAAATTAAGGGCACTATTACAATTAAAGTGAAAGGTTAAGAGAAGCATGCTTTAAAATTTTGAAAATTTTCATGTGAGTGGGTAATGTTCCAAATCAATTTCTGATAGAATGTTTATAAAATTTATTTATTTAAATTATACTATTATTTCTTTATAAATTGTACAAATATTCTTGTTAATCTTAATTTTTAATAATTATTTTATTTACGAACATGTGTTAATTTTATTAAGGATTTATATTGTTGATAAGCAATGATTGAAATGAATATATGACAAATGGTATTATTTTTCATAAGTAGTTTAATTATTTAATTCTACATTGATATTTTGTAATGATTTGTGTATGGAGGAAATGATAATAAATTTGGACAATGGAAAATGATAGTTGGTCAGTATTTGTAAGTAAAAATTTTAAAACTATTTTTCTTACTCTATACATGCTTGATTTTAATGAGGGGGATTGAGTTTAGAATGCTGGATGCTAACGACAGTTCTATTAGCCCTTAGTCCACCATGATACACCCAGCTAGGAGGGTGCATTGGAGGTGCTATCCTCGTGCAATGGCTAATGCATGTAGAAAGAAGGGATGATTATTTGTAAGTATTATACTCATGCTTGTTTTCATAGGCCTCGTGCCTGCGCTTGTTTCGTGGCTCTTGTTGTGCTTGTTTCGTAGCTTTCAGTTGTGTTTGACTGGTTACTTATTCTCGTGGATTATATGTCCATTCTTGATTAGTTATTTACCCTCATGGATTGTATGTCTACACTTATTATTCGTTTTAATAAAGCCTCCTAAATTTAAATTAAAATTTATCATTTCTTTATTAATTTTTTAAAAGTATTTTATCAAATTACACTATTATTAGAAGTTCTTATATTTATGAGCTGTATAAATTTTAAACATTTATGTGATTCTTATAGCATTGTTTAATTCCAGAGTTATATTATTGAGAAACTTTTTATTTATTGTTAACTTAAGTATATGTTTCATTATTTCATTATGTCATTTTGAATTAAATTTATTAGTTACTATCTTCATAATTTTTCTTAAAATTATAATTTTAATTAGGATGCTACTCATTAAAAATTTCTTTAGGCTTAAATATTGTAGCTGACCCTGCACCTCTTGTGGATAATTGAGAGGCTCTATTGCTTTTTAGAAAAAGGAAGCACATTGTGATTATAAACTTTGTATTGTATTTTGTAAATGTAAGTTAGTGTTCCACATATACCATAGCTAGATTCTAGTTTTATTTTATCAGTACATAACTTGTTATGGAGCTAGTCTCCTTTGTTAGATTGGTTGACATTTTTGTTATTGTAAAAATTTTAGGAGGTTTAAATTATAAGAGAGATTCTGCTGAAATTTTTACAAAATATTTAAAACTTTATGAACTTTATTGTTATATATAATTTATATGTCGATATTTTAGTTTAACCTTTGACTAATCTTGTCTTATGAAATATGAGATCACCTCATATTTTATGCCAATTATATCTTTAGTATTAGGATGTGACAGGAATTGGACTCGTTTTTGTTTTTCTTATCCTTAGATTTGTATTAGTTATAAGTAAAATTTTCAATAATATTTGAGCATGCCAATTCCATCCTTGTCACCTCATGCTTCTTTGTTTTTGCTCCTTGTAGAATGGAAAATAATATCCACAATCACTATACTTCTTGTCCAGCTCGGTTTAGGGAAGGAAATAATATGTTCCAATTCCCACAATTCAATTCTAATATCCCATAATTCGCACTGCCTATAATTAAGTATTAATATTCCTTACCTATGAAATTACTCTTACTCATTTTTCTTCACTTCTTTTTCATAGCCTAGTTAACATTGGAGCTATTTAAGAAAAAAAAATTAAGAATATTCTCTCTGTAATAGTTAACCAAACTTAAGAGGTTTATGTATTCTAAACTCATCTCAGGCTGTCATCTTCCTGGAGAACTGCTATATACTCTATACTTCAAGAACTTTATAATAGGTCTATTATCGAGCCCTTTTTAGATCTATTGCGATCCATAGGATCTAATAGTAATCCTTCTCTATGAGACTTATCGAATAATTTTACCTTTATTTAATCTGGCAACTTTATTAATTATTCTCCAAAACTGATCTTAGTTATCTATGTTGCCTTTCTTGGCCTTATTTATTCCTTTTTGCCTATCCTATAAATTTTTAGATTTTAACTTTCTCATTTCTCAATTTTGAACATTTTCTTGAATTTTCTGAAAATGTTAACACTTTTGCCTAAAATAGTCTTTAAAATTATGATTTGGTCCCTACGAACTATCTTGTCTTTTCAGGGCATCTTTAGGACTCTTGATTACTTAGGCTTAAAAGCTTTATGAATTCAACCATATTCTTGAGCTTCTAGGCCAGAAATTTAGGATGTTACAGAGAAGGCTTTGAATCAGCTTCTTAGTTTGCTTGGAGAAGGAAATATAAAAATAGGAGAGGGATGAAATTGAAAAGAAAGAGGGCAAAGAAGATGTTTTAAGTGTTGCAGTGTTTTGAAAAATGAAAATGGAAGAAGAGCATACCTAGAGCAACATAAAGAAAAGTGATGAGAGCATAAAGTGGTCAGAGCAACTTTTGAAAATGCAATATTAAAAAAAAAAAGAGAATAAGAAAAGAAGGGTCAGAGTGGTCAGAGTATACCTTGAGTAATGTGAAGGGCAAAAAAGTTATTTTACTTTTTAGTCTTTCTATTATATAGGTTGTAATTTTTTTATATAAGATGAAGTTGTATTTTTTTAGAAAAAAACTTTATATTATATTATTTTATTATGACCAGTCTAACTCTAGTTTGATCCTCGACTTGACACCTGATCTTAGTCGATTCAAAAACTAGTTCAGTTTTTAATACCATATAGATCCTCATATCTTTGGGCTTGCAAGTTTGAGAGGAATTATTTACTAGGTCTATAATTTCATGGGTAGTCCCAATCACCCTCATAGCTTGTGTAACATCCTTAATTTTAAACCAGATTATCTAAGCTCAATTAGATTAATTAAGTGTGTATTTGTGAGGTGTGTGGTCAAAGAGGCCTAATGGGCATGTTTGGTCTCAATTTCAGCCATAAACACAGGTCTGAAGGAGAATTGGGTCAGATAGGGATGAAAAAGGAAGAAACTTTGAGAAGGGAGATTCTGTGCCACGCACACGGCTTGTGGATGATCTACCATAGCACATGTGTAACAACATGCTTGAAAGAAGCTCTTTGTACCATATGCCGCTTCGCATTGTGCATAAACTAATGGCATTGGTGTTATATTACAAGAGAAAATTGACCACATAGTAAGAAAATGAAATGCAAATGTGGCATAATTTGTTTGAGAATCTACTAGGTTAATTTTGTGAGTTTTATGCCTTGTGATCTGAAATTCTTCGAGAACAATATTGGTGAATTTTTATATTATGTTTTATTGGGAGTTTAATGATTTTATGATTAGTGAAGTACCATAAATTTTTATTTATGAGAAGTTTGATGATATTTAAAATAGTAGAGTTTAATGATCGTGAATATATGAAGTACAATGATTTCAAAATTTAGAGTTTAACAACTCATTTAATTTAAAGTTCCATGAAAATGTATTTAAGGAGTCAATGAAATTAGTTATGTGAAGTTCTATGAATTGTGTGAAATCTGAATCATTGCATGAATATGTATTGCATGATTTGAGAGGTGGGAGTTTACCTAGGAAGAGGAGTAGAGCATTAAATCCACATAGTAGGGCTCCCATCTAAGTGATGGCTTACTCGGATTGATTTTATTCTTATTATTCCATTTTTTCAATGAGGGACTGTCCCATTAGTTCAGCGAGGGACTCAAACTTAGTTAGTTATCCACTGGTTTAGTGAGGAAACTAGTTTAAGGTGTATAACATCCTATAGTATGAGAAATAGGGAAAAATGTGTTCCATAAGTGAGTTAGGTGTGCTTTGGTCAGGTAATCCCCTCATAAGTGTCTAGGCTAGGGAAGTCATGGATTATAGACTATCCCATTGTGTTATAGCACATTGTTTCATGTCAAAGGAATAAGGAGGATATAAAGAAAGTGTGATCATACATATAATGAGTAAGGGTACATGGTTGTCTGTATTGTGACTCTAATGAGAGCATTCATGAATTGTGTCATAATCACTCCCGAGTATTTGTGATTGTATTGTGTGATAAATTTTTGGGATATGAAAATTGTTGAAAGGCTTTATTTTCCAAGTATGTGCTATTATGCTTGGATGTGTGGATTTATACTCTCAAATGTTTTACATGGTTTTAAAGAGTTGATATTATTTGTCATTTGCATTTAAACTAATTGCCATACATTAGTATGGGTTAGTTGGGCCTTAGTTACTGAGTGGTTGTACTCACCTTACTATTTTTAATATTACAGGGAAAAGCTAAGGAGATTTAGAAAGAGGAAAGCACCCAGAGGCTAAGGATTGCGATCCTAATTTGTATGCCTCTTTCTTTTTGAGTCAATATGTGTATTTGACAATTTAAATTGCCAACTAGGTTTTATTCATTTTTGGTTCTTACTGACATTATGTGTTTGTGAGTTGTAATTGTATTTTGGGCCTTAGAGAGTAAGTTGATAATATATGTTATATGTGATAGGGCCAAAATACTAATGTAAGTAAGAGTAGAGTATATTATGTGTTGATTATGAATTATTTGATGGAAATGTGCTCAAACTCCCCCTATTGTTTTTTTTTGAGATTAAGGGGTTGAGCAATAAAAATGTAATCTATGAGTATTTAATATGATATGGTGCATTGCATGATTCAGTTTTGATGTTTTGCATGTGGTCATATGGGTGTTAATGGATAATGGCTTTTGGTAAATGAATTGGACACTTGATTTTGTAAAAAGTATTGAAAAAGTATAAATTTTGAAATGAGTATCCAAATTTTGATTGAAAAATAATTTTCTTATAAAACCAATGCCCTTAGTTTGATCTCAGAAAGAGCTTTCCGTAAATACTTAGTTCGCATCAATCAGATGTCGGATGGAGAATTAGGTGTTGAAAGTTGCCACAAAAGCTGTCAAATTGATAGCAGAATTCACTGTCAAAATTTGTGCAATTGTGCTGCGGCACATGGTGCCATGAGCCATAGTGCATGTCACAGAGGCGAACCCGTTGCGGCACATGTTTGACGAGTTGCGGTGCACGCCTCAAAATTTTTTAAAATTTTTTTAATTTTAAATTCTTAAGAAAATGCACTCATAAGTATAATGGTTTCATACTTTCGCACATTTATGAACTTTGATTTGCCAATTGTAAGGATTTTAAAAAATATTTTTAGTTCTGTAAACTTGGGATTTCAATTTGTATAACTATTTAAAACTTGATATTATATTAACTATCTTAATTCAATCTTATTAGTAATTGAGATTTGGAGTTAATTATGAATTAGAAGGAGGAGGATATTATAGTTTGGGCCATATCACTATTTTCGCTCATAAGGAAAACTTTAAGCTCTTGGAGGAAAAAGTTGATTGCTTCGCTC